ACGCCCGCAGCAGGCACGCATGCACGCGCGCGCGTCATCGCCACCGCCGCTGCCGCCGCCGCCACCGCCACCGTCACCGCCACACGTTACCACTCGGAGGACCTCCCTATCGAGGAAGCAGAGAGTTGGCACGAACGGTCGGCGAATGAACGGAACGGAAGGAGCAGATCGTGGCACGCGTATACGTCACCCCTGAGAGATTAGGCGAGAAACCGCCGGCTTCGGTGGCGTTACCGAAATCTGGGTCCCTTACCTGATCCTAAGCAAACGGCTCACGGCCCGGCATCCCAGGAGGGTTGGCAGGTATAAAACCTTCTCCCGGGCCATTTTGTGTTTGGTCCGTGCGTCTCTCTCCCACCACTAATCGTCCGATCGCACGCTCTCGAAGGGTGACACCCACCCTTCGAGAAGAGCCCTTCGGGGGGGTGAATTTTCGTGGCCGGTTTACATCACGTCGCAGTCACAGTTAGCAACAGGATCCTTACGGAAGCGTTACGGTGTTTGCCGAAACTAACGGACGTTTTAATAAGAAATACTTCTCGTAAGAAACACTTGATCTAACGTGAAACGAAACAACTGACAGATCTCCAGATCATAGTGCGCGGAAGTGCTTGCGAAGAGAAAGAGAGAGAGAGAGAGAGAAGGAAAGAGAAAGAGACGAGTTACATTTTTTCGCTGGATAACGTTGATCTGCTTCGATACGGTTCGCCGAACGTCGATTCCACGAGGGTGACGCGGTGATCAGTGACCGTTATCGAAACACCCCGGAAGGAGTCGCGCTTAAATCCCAGGACGATCTTATCAAGCGATTAGCGTCGGGGTCATGCACACGACCTCGTGAGTGCGATTCGAGAGGGATCCGAGTTCGCGTCGACGAAGAATCGGGAACGCGAGTATCGTGCAAAGATGTTCGTTCAGTGATAGTTGGTGCTAGACCTCGATCGGAGATAAGGACGACGAGAGAGGATTTGCGCGCGCGGGACATTCCGGGATCACGAGACACGCGAGACACACGCCGGAAGATGAGGCTCTGGACGTTGCTGGCCGTACTCTCGGTGACGGTGCACGCGTCGCTGGAGGAGATCACTAGGAACAAGAATCGCGGCAGAGGATCCATGTGGTGGTGAGTATCCTGAGAGAAGAAGAAGCGAGCCCGGAATTTTGCTTCGATACATCCTCAGCGTATAATCAAATTCTTGCCTTGCTTTGCTCTCTCCGCGAACGCACGCCTGTAAATATGTCGTGTCGTAAAATATTTTATCGCCGACATTAGTGCGCGAATAATTTTTTGAAATTAAGCTTGCACCGAATGATTAATAAACCTGTTGAAGTCATTGTACTCTTAACTTGGACAATCGAAGAAATTGGTGAGAAAAGGAAGAAATCTCTCAAAGTTGCATATATCTCATGTTATAGAAATTAATTTACTTTTTATTACCTAATACATACATTATCAATAAATAATGAAATAAAACATAAAGCGCTTACGATATGTTGGAATAATTATATACAAAAGAGATTGATGATCTCTCTATAAAATAGTGACTTTTTCCTCGATGAAGAACTTTATCTTTCCACTAGCCCATTCGAATCTCATTATATATTCGTATTATTCTTTTTCTTACAGCTAATGACAATATTTAACGGGTAATTTATTTTGTTGGAAATAAAAAGCTTGCATATTATATGGATAAGGAGAGAGAATAAACTTGACCTGGAATTTTCGACAAATAATAAAAGAACATTTTCTCTTATTACGCAATTATTGACGATGTTAAAAACTCTTTTCCGCTTACAAACGGTGACATCACAGCTAACGATTCAAGTATTAATTGAGATCATGATTGCGATCGCTGAATCATCAAAAATAAAAATCGTGCTGAAGGAATCAGTTTCACATTGACTTGCCCTTGATCTTTGATGAGTATGCATCGTAAAAAACGAAAGATCCATCATTTTCATTATTTATTAATTACTCTTATGTCGAGTCTTTTCTGAAGAATAGTTTAAGAATCGATTTATCAACAAGAAAAATGACAATTCCTATTATTCGCAATAAAAGGAAGGAAGGAAGAGATAAAAATATAAGATATCAGTTACCTAGAAAACTTAAAAATAGACGCAATATTCTCAAAAGTAAACATCTCAAAAGATAGAGAATTTTATTTAAATTATACACTTTATTACAAAGTCTCTTATATCTTTAAAATTTTATTTCCTTCCTAAAGTTACGTATATTTTTTTGACATCTGAAATTCCTATTCTATCTTACATCTCTACTCCTTTTGCACTCCCTCAATGTAGTTTCTCGGGGATTTATTAAACAGCAACATGCGCCATACAGAAATATCGACGAATAGATGTCTCGCGAAGCCAATGCCGCTCGCGCTTCTTCTCTCACCGCGGCTTCCTCCAATTAAAATGTTATCCTCCATCCTTCGAATCGAATTGACCTTCGTACGTTAATTACCACGCCGTGCGCTCGCACGCATTAACACCTGTCTGCCCCGGCATTTATCGCGCTAATCGCGGGAGCAACGCCGTTTGCGCGCCCGCGCCCGCGAGCGCCCACCGTGTCGTTATTAATTCATTAATCATAATTCTAACTCCTAGCTCGTTTTGATTTGCGATTTCTTGCACGCGCGATATGCGTTAGATAATGACTAACTTCATTAGCCCGATCATAAATAACGCGCGCGATCGAGTGTTCGCGTTTGCATGCTATCCCGCGAGTTAGACGCGGAAAATATCCGCCTGTAGCACAAATCGCCGACGATAAATCAACCGGGTTCGTCGGATTTTCCAATCGCGAAACTCGCATGACGTTTCGTCAGCGATCATCGTCGTGTCGCGGAATCAATTAAATCAATGCGACGCATTGATTCGCGCGTTATTCGCGACGCCACTTGCGTCAGCTCTTGCATACTATCACGAATTGTTCACCGTTTACTAGCAATTAAAAAAACGAACGTATTACCACGGCTCTATATCGCGTGAAATCTAGATCAACTTCTTTCCGTGAGTAATTTCAATTAGAAAACTTAAAGAACAAAAATAAAGCGTCAAAGATACAAAGCGTCGAAACGGTAAAGAGCAAAAACGACCGGAAAAAAAAACAGCATAGATAAACAGATATTTTACAAGAAAATAAATAGCGGGCAGCGAATCGATAGATAAACGAATTAGCTGCGCCAGAAGGAAAATACGGAGAAAGTCGTATGTATTATGTATGTATTGACCCGCCACGGATACGTCGGAATCGATTGATCAACAGATACGACCGTGACGATCGGTAGACCGGTCAAGAGCCGATACATGCCGATCCGGCGTATGTTACCGTGCATCGTGGGTGGTCGCATCTGGTGCTAATGGTGACGATTAATTGTGGACGTGGGCAATAATTACACCTCGCGGCGACATAAAGCGCACGCGCGCCCGCGGAGACTTTCCGGATTTTTAAGACGCGCGCGAGCGCGGTGGATTATTACTTTTGTCGTCGTTAATTAAACCTCGCGTATTTTCCCATCCCCGCGAAGGCACGCTCAAACTTTGCGTTATTATAAATGATATCCGTGGGATTTTTATCGCGTGTCGCCATGGTATCGTCAGTCTCTTAGAGAAGAAGAATAGATTACATAATTTCTTACTACATTCGAAAAATTGTAAGCAACAAGTTTTCCATTAAATGAAATTTTTCTTAAATTTCAGTTATTTCAATAAGTTCTTTACACATTGTAAAATTTGTGTTACAAACACAGTAATTTCCGTTTAAACGGTATGCATATTTCGGACTAAATAAATTTAGTCTATTGCGCATTTAAATGTAAAATACAGAAATTTATTAATTCTTACAAATAACGTTTTGCATTTCCTTTCTTTTTTTTTTTTTTTTTCTTTAATGCAATTTGTCGTAAATAGTCATACAGGATCGTTCACAGATATCTCGTTTCTTCATTGAATAAAATGACACGTTACGTGTAGTGTACAAACGCGATACTAAACGGGACGCTAAAAGCCTCACCATTAATTATTCAGGTTTCACATTTCAAACGAACGTTTTTCCGCGCGGTCGCAATCCTAACGATCGCTGCAATATTATATATCGATCGCTTTCATCGGTAGTCTTAAATGTGGTCGATTTATCGACGCGACTCGGAGAGGCGGAAATCAAGGAGCGAGGAGTACGCGATCGTGACAGCGTGGCTCTCCTACGACGACGGGAAAGACGAGAAGTCGGTCGGCCGAATGAAAAAGACGTCGTCGAGCGGCGCGATCGGAAACACGACGTCTCGTTCTTGATTCACGATATCTCGACCTGATTCACGTCGCTGTCGTTCTGGATATGGACGGGCTCACGTTAGAAATGACATACGTCGGGATCACTCTGACGCGGTTCTGGAAAGGAATACGCTGAATACACGCGGGGAAAGACATTCACGTAGAACTGAGCATTGGACCGGGCAAAAAGTCCCGAGCACGTCGAACGTTCGCTTCGTTCCCATCGACATATAAAATATTTATAAAATAATTATCCATCGTTGGCTACACGCACGCGTTTATACACTTTAATTAAAGGCACATGTGCGTTAAAACGTCACGTATAAGTCTCGCTTGATATTTTCATCTCGCAGATCGAAGTTAAGTAAGTTAGATGTAGATTCTGAGTACGTGACCGCATTTGCTCGCCGTTAAATCTGAGCGCTGCAACACGCGCGAAGGATAAAATACGAGATAACGTCATCGTGAGTTCCTCTAAGATATACAATGTGATCTCATAAATTATAACGAAACTGATGAGAAATAAACAACGCTCTCGTCATTCGACGCGACGATCAATTCTCATTAATCAGCTCGAGCAAAGAATAAGGCTTTCAATGCTCGAAATATCTAAAGATCTAAAGTTATTCCTGCAAACATTGTCAGTGATTTAACTAACGTTTCCGTCTCTATTCTATATTCGCGGGAGAAAGACGAAAAAATTTTCTACAGCTCGCGATTCTTTAAGAAAACGCTCGCGACGCATCATTAAAACACACGTATTACACTTCGTGATAACGGCGCGAATTTAATATACTCTCTTTTGTCATTACGAGCGCGTATCGTTATTGCCCGTCGTTCTTCTCTTTCCATCCCCGCCTCCCTTCATCTCGAGGGGGCGGGGGAGGGGGGGGGGGGAAG